AATGCTTCCCTTCTATTTAACAGGGAAAAAAAAAAAAAAAAAAAGAAAAAAAAAAAGACCTCTCCTCTTCAAACAAACTGGCATAAATTATTACATGCAATTTCTACTTTGGCATCCCATCCCATCCCTTCCCCTGCCTCCCCACTCTTCCCAGTTTGTAGTCCATTGAACTTCTTTGGTTGGTCAGTCTTAATCAACATTAGTGGGAAATTAGCACATAACTCAAAATTAGCACATGCAGACTGTAATCAGCATTTACTCAAAAAACAGTTTCTCTTAGGATCAAAGCATAAAGTAAGGTGGGTTATAGTTGCAAAATACTAACATGTATTGCTCAGATTTCTGATCTATTTTAAAAGAGAATATTTGCATAACCACTGCTAAAGAAAAAAAAAAATTAAACCTGGCCTCCTTACCCGGTTTCCTCCATGGTTCTGTAGGACTCTACTCCCTCTGGAAATTAATATTCCTGGTTCTTACCCCAAAGTTTTCCACCATTGGCTGAAGCTTTTTGTTTTAGTCTCAGTTAGGTTTTCTAATGGTTGCTGTTAAGTTTAGATATTTTTCAGCATTTATCATTATTGTGGCTGAGAAACAGTGTGGTAATTCTAATTTTATGAAAACAGCCAGAGGAGAAAGAAGAAAACAGTTTTATTACACAGCCCAGGCCATTTTCTCTCCAAATGAGATGAAATGTCATGCTTAAAACAGTAGCTCCAACCACCATTACTTAAGTATGAGTGAATATTCAGCAAAGTAGGAAGCTAGTTAACTATCTCAGAAGTCTTCTTGGAGGTCTTCCCATGTGAGTTTAAATCAGTGTACCAAAATAAGCCATCCTTATGCAGTGAGGAGATCTTACAGTTACGACACCACCCTTGGATGAAATGAATAGAAGCTTTTTCAACTAACTCTTCATCATTAAACAAGAACGTGTTTTACATTGGAAAAAGATAACATACACTACTAGTTTCAGATTGCTCTGAAAACTACATAGTTTAGACAAGCCTGAAGGGTTAAGTTGCATTGGAGTTTCACAATACATATTCCGTACACGTCCTCACCACTTCAAGTAGCCAAATGTCTTCTAGAAGTGACACAAGACACTGCCAACTACTGTTGTTCACCAAGAACAAAGCACACATACTTTAAACAAAAAACTGCTTTGCTTTTTTTTTTTTTTTTTTTTAAATCAAAGGCGGTAGGATCAGAGTAGGAATTTAACATTGGAAGAAAGTGATGAGGTTAATGAATGCTTTGCTGAGGAATTCATCCTACCACACCTGCCCTAATTCAGTAAAGTTATTTACCTTCCTTCCCAATTTCCATGCTGGTGACAGGCATCAGGAAGTTTGTTAACCCAAGAAGAGGAGGTTCTTGAGCATTATGGAGCATAATACTCTTCCTGGAACATTATGTACTCAGACCACTAGCCACATTAAAGATCAAAGCATCAAGACTACACTCTCTACATATCGCACAACAGCTTTGATGTAATTTTTGTGACTTGTGTAATAGGTACACAGTACTGTTTTGTACTGGTCAGATCTTAAGAGCAGTGCCTTTAGGACAAAAAAAAACAACAAACAAACAAAACAACACTGCGTTTCTGTAGCTCACAAATGAGGTGGTGAAGATCTGTGACCCTGAGCAGGTCAGTAGGACCACAAAGCATGATTCAGTCAAAAGAGATGGTGTTAAGCATAAAGTTATCACTTGCATAAGACCTCAGTTTTAGGAGAAATTTAGGGACATCTTACAGTGAACTGACTAACTGTGAATGTGAATTGACTGCAGATCCTTTAAAAGTGGTCCTTTTGTGCACCAAAGTAATCAGCATTTTGGGAAATTTGATTTCCAACATCTACTTCATTCATGTTAAACATAGCACATTTTTAACTCCTAGAAAACAATCTTACAATTCTTTTTCATTAATCCCACAGGAGAGGTCCTTCCCAGATGTATTCAGGGGTTGTACTCTTTCCTTACAACTCCAGTGCTTCTAGACATTGCATAAAGTTCAGAAAGTGACAAAGATCTTGGCCAAATTTTGAAGACTCTCTCCAATGACCAGAGGTATTTCAGTCAAACTTCTTCAAACACAGTTAACTTTAAAACCAAAACCATGTAATTGGCCACTTATCCAAACAGCAATATCTGCCCCATGAAAGGTTATTTACATAATCAGACCACCAGGTAAGCTAAAGCCATGCTGTTTCCAGTGATGGCACTTCAGACAGATTGTTTCCTTCAACTTCTGATGATTTCTTCGCATATCCTTAAAGTTTGTAAAACACTGTTCTGCAGAGACAAATTTTTGCACCTGAAACTAGTACCAAAGTTGGTATCACTTTGAAGTTTCTAAATCCTATCCTGCATAGACTGGGACTAGATATATTTACTAGAGGAAGACACGATCTACAAAAATATCACACATCATCCCACTCTTATTGCTATTCTACAAATGATTTTGTGTTTTAAGTGACAATTATCCCAGATCTTAGTTCCTCAATTAAAATTAATCACTTGAAGACTGGATTAGGGTTGTTCGAAACAAGGCACTATGCTGCTGCTTTTAAAAAGCAAAATTTGTTTTAGTTATCACTGAAAAAGCTACCAATTCGGGGTTTTTCTTTTTCTTTTAAAAAATGTAAATAGCATTTTCTTTCCAAGTGTACATTTACTTTGTTGTCCAAAGACTGACAAATACCTACAGGAATCTAGTGCATGCCATATAAACATAATGAATAACAAAAGTACATGACAGCCCATAGCCTTTCAGTGAACAGGAACAGCAAGCACTGTATTTCCTTCCAATTGAGCCACTCACAAATTTGTAATGAAAAATGTTATCAGTGAATTAAGATACCATCCTGCAAGGCTTACTAAATAAACATAAAACAATATCAAGCTGGAAAAAAATTCTTAATAGATGTATATCATCAGTTTCCGAACCTTTTCCATTGGTGCAGAAGTGTCTCTGATTGAAAATGTAGGACTAAATGAACTCAAATCTGTTTTGGTTTTATACAGCCTGTGCAAATTAATAAAATGCTAAACATAAGTTTAAAAGTAACGTAAAATTTAAAAAACAATATTCTATGCTTCTCTTGAAGCAACACCTCAAGAGCAAGTTATTTAGGCTATAGTTTCACAACCATGATTTATGATTAACTCATTAATGATGTCATCTTACACTGATTTTTAACAAATTACCATCTTCATGCTCAACAGCAAGATCCGGAAGATAAATGTAGAACTTTTATACCAACATTAAGAAAGTATTGATTCTAAGCATTCAAATGGAAAAAAAAAGTATAAAGAAAGTACAGCAGTCTGACCAACAAAAGCCTAAATTGTCACCAAGTGCCATATATACTAGTATTCTCCAAATAGCAGATTTTTGTTAATTTCTTTTAACAGAGACTTTTCTTTGTGTTACACTTTGACAAAAGAGAACAAAACTTGCAAATCATATGTCAAGTAAGAAAGAAAAAAAGCATGAGAAAGAATTTCACAGATATACCCCTTTGCTGAACTGAAAGCAAAATTCTTGTGAGGCTCTTCCGCAAGAAATGAATCAGTAACAGAAAATGTAACTAGAGAATGTGGTATTAGTCAAAATGAAGAAAATACTACTTTAGTGCTATTCAGATATCCTTTTCTTGTCAGTCTTTGGCACATCTACATTTCTGTTGTTCAATTAAGACCTATATATTACCACAACCTTGAGAACCTGACATTTTTCCTGCTGCTTACATTCAGGAGGCTAGCCTACCAGCCAACTGCTACAGCAGAGATAACACCACAAAGCATCTGCTTCTCCTACAAGTGCCCAATAGGAAAAAAAAAATTCCATATGCCACAGAACTCATCTGCTTCTTTTATACTGAAATATGGGTTACAAGTTGGCTGTGCTACACCACACAGTATTCCTGGAAAACTTCAGCTTCCTCTTAATGGACCTGAGGGAGAACTGAAGATAATATTGTCAGCAGAACAGTCAGAACAAACCTATTCACTTAAGACAGAATATGTGTTTTAAAATTACTTGATCCTTGAAGGACATAGTCTACTATTTTTCAAGAGATCAGATGTTTATAAAGAAAAAAAAACAAAAAACCTTTCTTCTAGAAACCATTCCCAAACAAGTTTAGTTGCTTTACTGAAGGACAAAACGGAAACACCTTACTTGCAGTAAACAGTCCTGACCCTCAGACAAACTGTATTTTCCAAGGTTCACATGAAGTGCAATAAGATCAACAAAGATAAATAAAAGGTAAAAGTCTATTATACACAATAGTTACTTGATTATTTCATGAGATTGTTCATGTTATGATAATAGATGCATTTATCTAGTCAATTTGCTCAAATTACTTTATTTCTTATACCCTACTCTGACAAGAAATATTTTATGTTTTATTCAAAGACTGAAAGACTTGTCATGCTATGATGTTGATCGGCAGTTTGCCACCTCCATCACAGAATCATCAGGGAAGACAGAAAGCAGTACCAAAATAAAATTCTCCGGCCGGGTCCATTGGCCATATGTCACGGGGGGGAGGGCCAACAAAAAAACAAACAAAAAACCACACACCACAAACGAGCAACAGGAAAAAAAACAAAACACACACACAAAAAAACCCCAAAACAACCAGAGACCATATGTTTTCCCAACAACTATAAACCAGGAAAAAAAAACACCCCAACACAACTATTGAACTTGGACCAACCCCTTCCTCCAACAGTAGCATTTGTTTTGCTTCAGGTACATTTTTTTTTTCTTTTTAAATCAGAATCACTCTAAGTTAAGTTTCCTGAGTATTTACTCAGGAGCAGGTATTTACTCCTCACCAAGGCAGTATCTTCTGGAGCAGAGCTAGTCAACAAAAATTTTTACAGATTGCTAACATACAGCAGCAGTGCACGTGCCTGTACTATTCATTCCTCTACCACACAGCCACACGGAGGTCAATTTCATTTTGGAGCCTTTAACTTACCTTTGCCATTTTGCCATGCAGTGTACCAGGACAAACTGAGGAAAGTGGTGATGAAAACTAACACGGTGGCCACAGTTCCATTTCGGAGCCTCATCTCATTTCAGCATCACACTTGTTTATGTTCTATTACCAATGAGGACCTATCTGTTGGGTTTGCTGCAATGAAGTCAGCTGAAGTCCACCAGCAGCAGCCGGCCAACAGCAACTCAAAATGTAGCTCTCACATATCAGAGGTATCATAAATCAATCCATTCCAAACTGTTGTAAGATTTCGTGTAGTTCTCATAAATTAAACTTCTCTTTATTCTTCTAGTCCTGTTTAAAGGAAACAAAGTTTTAAGAAATTATGCTAAAAATATTTACAAGAGTCCCCCATCTATCAAAACACGGTAAAGAAATGCTACTATATGCTCATTACTGTGGTTTACATGCACCTCCCTTGCACTGCCTCAGCCTTGGCTCAGAGAATAGAACTTGTTAGATTAATTTGTCCTTTTTCTGTTAAATCTGGAGGAGCTGTATTTCACATGAATTTGGTCATTAAAGGACAAACATACGCATCACCAACATCACAATTTTATCATAAACTCAAGGAAAGATCATGTGTCACCTGACAGGTAATGAACGGATACAAGAGTTGTTTTCAGGAAGCCATCAACTCAAGGCCCCAGTCTTAAGTACTCACTTCGACAAAACCCCTCTGAAATCAGTGAGGCCTAATGTAACTGCCAGCAGCAGAACCGCCCCCAACGAACTGAGAGACCAGAGCTTTAAACACCATTTACAAACCTGCATCACTCAACTCTCCAGGCTCAGTGCAAGAGTATTTGACCCATCCACAACCATTATTTTTCCTAGCTTAGCTGCAGCTAACGCACAGAATACAGTCACACATGCAGAGAGGTTCAATCTATACCAACTGGCAACAACCCAAAAGCCCCACAAAATGCCACAAGATGACCGTATCCCTCCTCTGTTTCCACCACACAGGCACAAGGACGAGACACAGAAGTTACCTACAAATCGATTTTATCCCAGATGAAGATTCCATATCTTGGGATTAGAAATCCTCAACTGGCCAAACACAGCCACCATCTAACCACACTGTCCTAACTGAGCAAGACAAAGAGAATAAATTAACCAACTTCAAAAAGAGGGGGGAGGCGGGGCAGAATTGTTTTTAAAGCACTAAATAATCCTTCACAGTAGCTCAAACTTTAACATTTGACATCCTTTTAAGGCACTGCCAGTTTTTCCCCACTATAAACTACATCTGATGCAAGTATGCTACCCAATTTCTTTGAATTTTCCTTGGAAGCACTCTGTCACACTCTTGCCTGGGTGCATTTAGAACAACAGACGAAAAACCCTTTTTGTTATTACGCTACCAAGGGACAGTCAAATCTGAACTACTCTTCCCAAGTTTCTATGGCAGAACACACTAGCTTTACCAAAGAGTTTGCAAAACAAGACATAATCAACAGGCACAGTTAACAAATGAGGGGAAGAGAGCAACAGTGTTGCAGAACTACACTTCTTGCATCAAATCTTGGTCGCAACATCCAGGTTACAGAACGTGTTTACCTTCGGACTATGATTACCTCACATGTAATGCTAGTAACACGTTCTGTTTTGAGGAACTTTACACACAGACATGTTTGTGGCTTTAAACATTAACTCAGAAATCACATACTGCCTATGAGGAAGGAAACAAATGCAAGTACATGGGAAGTACACAAAGTGGATAGTAAAATTCAGTAAGAAACAAAATGATGAGCAGGGATAGAAAAAACTGTGAAAGGCCTTATGATATGAGAAACCCGAATTCAACACAGTGAAAGATAAAGACAACTGAGAGACCTATAGAAAGCTAACACGGAGAGCCCAGCATGCCAGGAAATATCATCAGCGCCAGCACTTTAAATAGGAGATGGACCCAATAAAAGTCAGAAGGGTAGGCAATAGTAATTGGGTGAGAAGACAAAAGTCTAGGTGAACTTAATAGCAATGAGAGGCAAAGATCTCAAACCCCCAAGGTTTTGTAAGGCCTGTCTACATGAATTTAGAAAGTTCAGGTGATTCCCAGACTAGCAGATTAAGTGACTAGGATACCATTAAGGTCAATGACACTAACGCGGCTCAAGTGGCTGTGAAGCAAGGATGTCTAAACTGTAATCTACCTATACCATTATTTTAGCAGCAGTCAGATCTCTCTGGAGCAGCTCAGGTGTGCACGAAGGACCAGGCTGCAAGCTAGACGGATTAACACACTGGGAGCAACAGACAGCTGGTCCGACATGCAAACAAGAGAGGGCAGCCAGAAAAGTAGAAATGTCATCTGATAACGCAAGGAAAGTGAACCACCTGCCTTGCCAGAAAATGCAGGCATCATTTTTACATTTGCTGCAACAAAATCAAGATGTTTTGATCAGGGCTTCTCACTGTGCAATCCGAATCCACAAAAAATACAGCCTGAAAGAATTCAGAAAACGAAACAAAAGCCCTTAAAAATAACAATAAAAAAAAAAACCAACAGCAACACGATTCAATTAGCCGTGAGTATGCACAAAATTGTGTCAAATTAATAATTACCATGGTTTTGAGTTGGCTGGTTCTGCATTTATGGTGCTGTACCCACTCCTCTTAGCACAGGCCAGCAGCAGCTCAGCACTACTTAGGCGATTATTCGAGCATTTCACTATACCAAACTGCACACACCAAGGCCACGCATAGAACCAGAAGACTTCCAGCTTTTAAAAACGCAGATAGTTAAACCAGCAGAAACCCCATGTGCAGGCGCACGTAAATTACTTTACCCCCAGGTGGTCACTTTAGGTTTGTTCAATAATTTACCACTGAAACGCTTCAGCAAACCCCCGTCACCGGCGGCCGGTAAAGGGAGGTGTCTCTCGGCGC